ACCTCGCGGCCCCGCCGCCCTTCCTTCAGCAGCCCCGCCGCCCTGCACTTCGCGGCCCCGCCGCTTCTCCTTAGCGGCCCCGCCGCCCTTCCTTAGCGGCCCCACCGCCCTCTGCTAAGCGGCCCCGCCGCCCTTCCTTTGCGGCCCCGCCGCCCTGCACTTCGCGGCCCCGCCGCCCTCTGCTAAGCGGCCCCGCCGCTCTCCTCCTCTGCCGCGCCACCCGAGCCGCCGCCCACTGCGCCACCCTGCAGCGTGCACCCGAGCAGCCGCCCGCCGCGCCACCGAGTACCGGAGGAGCCGAGCCGCCTAGCCGCGGTGCAGCCGAGCCGCCCAGCAGCCGGGCCACCCAGCAGCCGAGCCACCGAGCCGCCGAGCCGCCGAGCCGCCGAGCCGCCGAGCCGCCCAGCCGCCGAGCCGCCGAGCAGCCCAGCCGCCGAGCCGCCCCGCAGCCGAGCCGCTCTACTGCCGAGTCGCCCGACCTGCCTTGTCTGGTGAGCACAGCCCCACTACTACTGCGTGCCCGTCCCCCCCCACCACTGCTTGCACTGCTAGTCTGTCGTCATGGCCACCCCTAGTGTCCTCGCTTTTGACGTTGAGGGTCGAGCCATAGACTTTGAGGTCTTGGTCGACGACCTGCAGCTGTTTTTACAGTGCGATAGGGCGGACGGTCTGTCTCTCTTTGACCTCACCTCTGGCGCCGTCCCTGCCCCTGCTGCTGATGCTGACGCCACTGTTCGCTCACAGTGGGCCACGCGCAATGCTGCTGCACGTCTTGCTGTGCGTCGCCACCTGCCTACCGCTGAGCGCGCGCACTTTAGCCAGTACAAGAGTGCCCAGACCTTGTACGACGCTGTAGTTGCGCGCTACTCCTCCCCTGCCACTGCTGCACTGAGCCGCCTCATGCTCCCCTTCCTCTTCCCTGACCTTGCCGCCTTTCCCACTGTCGCTGATCTCATCACGCACCTCCGCACTAGTGACACTCGCTACCGCGCTGCGCTTCCTGCTGACTTCTACGCCAAGAACCCCCCCCCCCCATGTACATCACTCTCTACTTCTTAGTCACTCGCCTCCCTGACTCCCTTCGTGTAGTCCGGGACCACTTCCTCACAGTCGACAGCCTCGAGAAGGCCCTCCTTGCAGCAGAGAAGAGCATAGTTGCTGTAGGGGCCTCTCGAGGTGACCCCCGCGCCCCCATCTTTGAGGGGTGTTCTCCTTCCCCTCTCCTGCCCTCTGTCGCCTCTGCCGCTGCGGCCGACCTCGTTGGTCTTGAGTCGGTCGGTGCGGCGTCTGCCCCTAGCGGGAGACGCCGCTCTGGCAAGGGCAAGGGGGGCAAGGGAGCGGGTGGGGCCAGTGGGGGCGGTGGAGGTGGAGGTGGAGGCGGCGGAGGGAGTGGGGGTGGCGGTGGAGGTGGTAGCGGGGGTGGGGGTGCTAGTGGCGGCAGTGGAGGCGGGGGTGGCGGCAGCGGTGGCGGTGGTAGCGGAGGTGGCGGAGGTGGCGGCGGTGGAGGCGGAGGCGGGGGCGGTGGAGGCGGAGGCGGGGGTGGCGGAGGTGGAGGTGGTCGGAGTGGAGCTTCGCAGCGGAGCAGCACTTGGGGCGGTCAGCGCCAGCAGCAGCAGCAGCAGCAGCGTTCTCGCGACGTCCCCACCCCTCAGCAGCTCCGTGAGTGGTACACGCAGCGTCAGCGCGGTGGGGGTTTTGGTCCCTGCACCTACGTTCTCCGCACTGGCGACCGCGCTGGAGAGCAGTGTGGGGGTACCCACACCGCCCAGCGCTGCTTTGGCCGCCTGACGGACGCGTGGCGCCAGCAGTTCCCGGAGGCCGCGGAGATCCCCCGCTGGGGAGAGCTGTCTAGGGCTGGTGTAGCTATCTTTGATCTTGATTTTGATGCTATCCTTGCTGCCATGTATGCTGTGACCATTAGTGAGGAGGGTGACTGTTACCGGTGTTTCCCGCCCGACCCGGGCATTGGTACTGCTGCTCTAGGTGCCAGTGCGTCTGTGCTCTCAGGTGCTGGTGAGGCTTCTCTCTCAGGTACTAGTGCGTCTGCGCTCTCAGGTACTGTGTCGACTTCGGCCTCCCACACCTTCACCCTTGACTCTGGAGCGTCTCGCTCTTTCTTTCGGGACCGCACCACACTCACGTCGCTTAGTCGGCCGGTTGCGGTTTCCCTGGCTGACCCCTCTGAGGGTCCTGTCCTGTCTCGCTTCTCCACAGTCCTCCCGTGTCCGGCGGCTCCCTTTGGCACCCTGTCTGGTCTCTACCTCCCCTCGTTCTCTATAAACTTGGTGAGTGGTGCTGACCTACAGGATGCGGGAGTCCACCAGTTCACCCCTGCTCGTCAGCGAGTGACGCACTGCACAGAGGCTAGCAAGGGTCGTCACCTGGCTATGTTTACACGTCAGCCAGGGTCGAGCCTGTACACACTGACCACTGCTTCTCCTCCAGTACCTGAGTCTGGTAGGGTCTCTTCGTCAGGTCAGGTGTTTGCTGCAGCGTCCAGGTCTGGCCCTGAGTCTGCTCCCTGTTCGTGTCGTCGCCTCTCTCACGAGACTCTCCTCTGGCACCACCGCCTTGGTCACCCCTCTCTGCTTCAGCTCAGAGGCATGGCCTCCCGTCTTCTTGTGTCTGGTCTTCCCCGGTCTCTCCCTCCCCTTCCTCAGGGCCCTGGCCCTACCTGTGTCCCCTGTGTCGAGGGGCGCCAGCGTGCTGCCCCTCACTCCTCCCAGTTTCCTCCGACAGAGGCTCCATTGCAGACGCTTCACATGGACGTGTGGGGCCCTGCCTGCGTCCGTGGACTCGGTCACGAGCGCTACTTCCTGTTGGTGGTTGACGACTACTCGCGTTACACCACAGTCTTCCCCTTGCGCAGCAAGGGTGATGTCACTGAGGTGCTGATCGACTGGATCCGCGCAGCTCGTCTCCAGCTCAGGCAGAGCTTTGGCTCGGACTTTCCTGTGTTGCGTCTGCACTCGGACAGAGGCGAAGAGTTCTCCTCTGGCCTTCTGCGTGCCTTCTGTCGTGCGCGAGGCATCCGCCAGACCTTCACGCTTTCGGACTCACCGCAGCAAAATGGGATTGCAGAGCGCCGCATTGGCATGGTCATGGACGTCGCTCGTACGTCTATGATGCATGCGGCTGCCCCCCATTTTCTGTGGCCGTTTGCGGTCAGGTACGCGGCGCATCAGATCAACCTCCACCCCAGGGTCTCCAGGCCGGAGACCTCCCCAGCCCTGCTGTGGACGGGGAAGGTTGGCGATGCGTCGGCGTTCCGGGTCTGGGGATCTCGGGCGTTTGTCCGCGACTTGTCTGCGGACAAGCTATCCCCTCGTGCTGCTCCCTGCGTCTTCCTGGGGTTCCCCCCCCGACGCCCCTGGGTGGCAGTTCTACCACCCCACCTCTCGACGTGTTCTGTCCTCCCAGGACGTCACGTTCGACGAGTCGGTAACCTACTACCGCCTCTTCCCCTACCGCACTCCGTCCCTTCCCCCGCCCCCGCTCTTCTTGGTCCCAGGTCCCCCCCCGGTAGACCCCCTCCCCCCTCAGGGTCCTGCCCCTTCAGGTGTGTCCCAGGTAGACGCGGTCGAGCCTGTCGAGGCCACTGGTGACTCTGGTGCTGCTGCGGGTGCTGAGCCTGGGGGTGCTGGGACTGGGGGTGCTGAGCCTGGGGGTGCTGAGCCTGGGGGTATTGAGTCTGGGGGTGCTGAGCCTGGGGGTGCCGAGCGTGGGGGTACTGGGCCTGGGGGTACTGAGTCTGGGGGTGCTGAGCCTGGGGGTGCTGAGCCTGGGGGTGCTGAGCCTGGGGGTGCTGAGCCTGGGGGTGCTGAGCCTGGGGGTGCTGCGACTGGAGGTGCTCCGCCTGGAGGTGCTTCGTCTCGCCGAGAGCCACTCTCCCCACAGGAGCTGCGTGAGTGGTTTGCCCGGCGCTGGAGGCGTGCTGCTGGTGCTGGAGGTTCTTCGGCTGCAGAGGGTGCTGCTTCCGCGCGTCCCGGAGGTGCTCGTACTGGAGGTACTGGAGCTGCTGGACCAAAGGTTTCTTCTGGAGCTGGTACTGCTGAGGGTGTTGGCGCTGCGACTACCACTGACAGTCCCGCTAGCGGTGCTCCTGGGGCTGCTGGGGGTTCTGGGGCCACTGGAGGTGCTGCTGGGGGTTCTGGAGCTGCTGGAGGAGCTGCTGGAGGTACTGCTGGAGCGGGTTCTCCTGCTGGGGGTACTGGTGCTGTCCCTGCTGTTCCTGGCGTCTCCACGCGGCCCCGACCGTACTTCGTTCCCCTCCTGCAGCAGGTTCTTGGTCTTCCACCTTCTCCTGGTCCTCCTCCTCCTCCCTTAGAGCGTCCACAGCCTGTCCAGTCCCAGCTACAGCCTGCCTCCCCTTTGCCCGCTCCTTCTCCCTACGCTGGTCCGAGTGGAGGTCTTACTGAGCGTCGTGAGCCTGCGCCTCGTCCTGCGTCGCCTGTTCGTACTGCGCGCACTAGTGGTCGCGGTTCGCGTTAGCGTCCTCCTCCTGTCCCTGGCACGCACCGGATGTCTCTGCGTCCGTCCACTGCTCCTCTGCGTGCCCCTTTGCCTTCTCCTCTGAAGTAGGAACTTCCTCTCTTCCTGCTCTTGCCGACCCAGATTCGGACTCTCTTCGTGCTGCCAGTCCTACTCTCACGCGTCTTCTTGCTACTGCTGTCACTGACCCTTCTTTTGAGTCTTCTGCTACGTCTGCCCTTGTCACTGAGCTCGTCGACTTTGCTGCGCGCTGTCGTCTAGACTACGCTGCTAGTCTTGTCGCTGAGTCTGAGTCTGCCTGTTCTCCGTCCGTCGGGGGTGAGTGTGCCCTTGGTACGGACGTCCTTGAGGACAGGCAGGAGGAGTTCCAGTGTCTGGCAGCTGCTTCACCTCATCTCGCGTCTGTACTGCTCGCCCCTGAGGGAGACCCGGATGCACTAGACATCCCGACTCCGCGCTCTTACGCGGAGGCGATAGAGGGTCCCTACTCCTCTCAGTGGCAGGCAGCTATGGATGCAGAGATGGCTTCCTGGAAGTCCACAGGCACGTACGTTGACGCTGTTCCCCCTCCTGGGGCGAACATAGTCAGTGGCATGTGGATCTTCAGGGTGAAGCGGCCGCCTGGTTCTCCGCCTGTCTTCAAGGCGCGTTACGTGGCTCGTGGCTTCAGTCAGCAGCAGGGAGTTGACTACTTTCAGACCTTCTCCCCCACTCCGAAGATGACCACTCTTCGGGTACTGCTGCACGTTGCTGCTCACCGTGACTACGAGCTGCACTCCCTCGACTTCAGCACTGCTTTCTTGTAGGGTAGCCTGCACGAGGAGATCTGGCTGCGTCGCCCGCCTGGCTTCACTGGGTCTTTCCCTCCTGGTACCCAGTGGAGTCTCCGGCGTCCAGTCTACGGTCTTCGCCAGGCGCCACGTGAGTGGCACGACACACTGAGGACTACGCTGGCGGCACTCGGGTTTACTCCTTCTACTGCCGACCCGTCGCTGTTTCTGCGCACCGACACCTCTCTGCCGCCCTTCTACATCCTCGTGTACGTCGACGACTTGGTCTTTGCCACAGCTGACACTGCTGGACTCGCCTACGTGAAGTCCGAGCTGCAGAAGAGACACACGTGCACTGACCTGGGTGAACTGCGCAGCTACCTTGGCTTGCAGATCACCCGGGACAGAGCACGCCGCACCATTACCCTGACTCAGTCACACATGGTGCAGCAGGTCCTTCAGCGCTTCGGCTTCACGTACTCCTCGCCTCAGGCCACTCCTCTGCCTACTCACCACTCGCTCTCAGCTCTGCCTTCGGATGAGTCCGTAGAGTCGAGTGGCCCGTATGCAGAGCTTGTTGGCTGCCTCATGTACCTGATGACCTGCACACGACCTGACCTTGCATACCCTCTTAGCATTCTCGCACGCTATGTTGCTCCTGGGAGACACCGACCAGAGCACATGGCTGCAGCAAAGAGGGTGTTGCGCTACTTGTGCAGTACGTCGGGCATGGGGCTAGTGCTTGGAGGGCGCAGTCCAGTGGTCCTCACTGGGCACGCGGACGCTTCTTGGGCTGACGACCAGGCTACGCAGCGGTCGTCACAGGGTTACACCTTCAGCCTTGGTTCCGGCTCTGTTTCGTGGCGGGCTACCCGCTCGTCTTCTGTTCTCGGCTCCAGTTGTGAGGCTGAGATCTACGCCGGGGCTATGGCTGCACAGGAGTTACGCTGGCTCACCTACCTACTGACTGACCTTGGAGAGCCGCCTCGTTCTCCTCCAGTCCTGTACGTAGACAACAAGGCCATGCTGGCCTTGTGTCGAGAGCAGCGACTGGAGCACAGGACAAAGCACATTGCTCTCCGCTACTTTCTTGCTCGTGAGCTACAGCAGCGTGGACAGTTGCGACTTGCGTACGTGGCCTCTGAGGCCAACACTGCTGATGTCTTCACCAAGGGACTTGCGCCTTGTGATCATCTGCGCTGCTGCACGCAGCTGGGTCTTGTGCCTGTCTTGCCTCACTTGCTCACTTCTTGACCTTGCTTGTACCTTCACCTATATATACTCTTGCTCTTGCTTGCTTGACTCTTGTATATCTCTATATATGATCTTGCATGTGAACTGGCCTTCTGGCCTTTGAACTTGTGCTCGGAATGTGTGGTGACTTTGTGATCCACCCTGAGCTTTGCTTTGCTTTGCTTGATTGGTCTTGTGACCCCTTGTTCTCCCCCACTTTGCCTATGGGGGTGTGTCAGAACATTATAGCTTACTTATTTGTGTAGGATATAGTGGGGTATCCCATATGAGCACATGCGAATCCTTTTTAGGTAGTTGCGAATTGAAGAAACTTATGTGGATTACACGATACAGCTTATTCGCCTTCTTCACAAGGCAACCGGGAGGGGCTCAAACAGGCATCAGTTGTACAGCACGATCGCAACAAGACAGGGCATGTTTCTGCCCTGTCCCGAACTGTACACGCACATGATCGCAATCATGCGCGCTGTACAGCACGACCGAGAAATATCTCGATCGTGACTTGTGGCAGGTGGGGGCGCGTGGGATCTCGGTTGAAAAACAGAATCCTGCGCTGACTCACAGAACAAGAAATTGCCGCATAAAAGAATGGTTTTGCCGCAGGTACGATTTGGTTGTTCACATCATCAAACGGTTAAAACCGTTTGACAGCTGTAAACTCGCAAGTACTTCATGCGAGGCTTATGGGAGCCATATGTGAGTCGCATGTAGGATTTTATATAAATATGTGCCTGTAATAGTTTATGGATACAACAACTATTTTTCATTTCGCCTTTCAAGTTCATTTTCTACTACTACGTATTGACGAGAGTAGAATCGCTACCGTGGTGCTGCCGAAACTCTGCTCGACCAACTTACTTGGCTGACAGGCTGAGAAAGGCATAACTACTCGCTTGCAATTTTTCTACGCACTTGGCTAGGAGGTGACAAGTTGTCGCGCTCGAAGGGCTGCAAGTGTTGCCGAGTACAAGTTTGTAATACCAGTTTGAATGCTTCCGCATAACGTTATAGCTGTTAACACGTGGTATCCGAGCTGGTACTTAGTCGTTTTCAACGTATCCAACGATGGGGTCGCCTGGAGAAGAAGGGAATTCAGCTCCCGCGAGTAGTGGCAGCCAAGAATCTGAAGTCTCCGCGCCTAGGGTAGCACGCACGAACCAGTGCCCACTACTAAGGGAAGTGCTGAAAACGTTCTCCGTCGACAAATTCAGTGGTGAAGGGTACGACGACTGGTCTTGGAAGATGCAGTTATACTTTTGGCAAATAGGACCTCTCAAAGTCATGATCGGTAGTGAGAAACGCCCTAGCAACCCTGAGCTTCAAGGTGATTGGAACGAACAGCTTGATACTACATCCTTTCTCATAGCCTCGATCTTGCTCAACGCCAGCACATTATGCACCTACTCCCAGAGGATGAGTGCAGACCCAAGGCGTGGACCGTGCTTAAAGCCGTGGCCTAGCTATCAGCTTCAACTTCGATGTATTATGGCTTGGAACTTGGTCGTCCCAGGCAGTTCTGTGGCGAGAAGTTTTTCTTTTCCGAGATTCCATTTTTTTCATCCAATAAGGGTTACGTTACGCACACTCCATGTTTGTCCTGCTATTGTTCCTAAGAAGTTGCACCCCGCCTTTAAGGACCTTCATGCACCTACCTCAGTTGTAGCCACCCTCATGTTAGAGAGAGAGCTCTCCATCCTGCGCCTCAGTGAAGGAGAACCTGTCCAACCCGTCCTTGATAAGCTCAGAGATCTCTATGCAAAGCTAGCCATTGCCGGCATAACCTACCCCGAGCAAACAAAATGTGTAAAGATGCTGTCTCTGCTGCCAGAGTCGTGGATGGTCTTCACCAGCGGCCTCAGCCTTCCCCAAAACCAAAGCTTCTGGACTCAAGAGTGGATTCGTACCAAGATACTCGAGGAAGACTTCCGGAGGCGTTTGTTGAGGGGAGGAGAGGAGGGAAGCAGCAGCTATGCAATGCAAGGTGGTAAGAGGGGCAGAGGCAAGAAATGGCAAGCGACTGGGAGAGGAGCTTCAAAGGATGAGGAGACTTCTGACCAGCAAGGCGGTAGAGGAGCACGACGTGATGGAGGCCGAGGTGGCAGAGGTGGTGGAAGGGGACCTGGGAGAATGGAAGGCAAGTGTTGGTACTGTGAGAAAGTGGGTCACCCGTGGTTTAAATGCAGGACCAAACCCACCTGGTGGACCCCCTCCAACAGGACTCAAGATGGGAGCGGCGCCGGAGCGGTTGCCGATGATGAACCGGCTGAACAAGAGGAGAGGGAAGACGGTCAGTTCTTCCACGTTGGTGAGCCGGATGAGGTCGCAGTAATCGCCCATGCTGGAGCCAAGCTGCACCCGCTCAACACGTAGAACTTGGACACAGGAGCAGCATGGACTATGATGCCAAGGGCTGACCTCCTGGACAATGTGGGGGCAGCACCGATTGCTAAAGTGAAGTCGGCTTCCGGGCATGCGCTCAAGGTGACGGGGGCGGGGCGCACTGCATTCAAGAGAACTGACGGCAAACCGGTGGTGCTAAGTGATGTGCTGCTAGTACCTGATTTGAAGGCAAAGCTCATCTCCCTGAGGAAGTTAGGCAAGTGCGGGGTGAGCACAAGTACCGAGGGTGCCAAAACATTCAAGGGGCAGCTGGGAAAGCGGATGCTTTGGGACTTGCATGAGGATAATGTCAGAACATTATAGGACGTCACGTTTGACGAGTCAGTCCCCTACTACCGCCTCTTCCCCTACCGCACTCCGTCCCTCCCCCCGCCCCCGCTCTTCCTTGTCCCAGGTCCCCCCCCGGTAGACCCCCTTCCCCCTCAGGGTCTTGCCCCTTCAGGTGTGTCCCAGGTAGATGCAGTTGAGCCAGTCGAGGTTACTGGTGACTCTGGTGCTGCTGAGGGTGCTGAGCCTGGGGGTGCTGCGACTGGGGGTGCTCAGCCTGGGGGTGCTGCGAATGGGGGTGCTGAGCCTGGGGGTATTGAGCTTGGGGGAGCTGCGACTGGGGGTGCTGAGCCTGGGGGTGCTGCGCCTGGGGGTGCTGAGCCTGGGGGTGCTGAGCCTGGGGGTGCTACGCCTGGGGGTACTGTGCCTGGGGGTGCTACGCCTGGGGGTACTGGGCCTGGGGGTGCTGAGCCTGAGGGTGCTGCGCCTGGAGGTCCTCCGGGGGCTTCGTCTCGCCGGGAGCCACTCTCTCCCCCGGATCTGCGCGAGTGGTTTGCCCGGCGCTGGAGGCGTGCTGCTGGAGCTGGAGGTTCTTCGGCTGCTGAGGGTACTGGTGCTGCCGGTCCCGGAGGTGCTCGTACTGGGAGTATTGGAGCTGCTGGGCCTGTGGGTTCGACTGGAGCTGGTGCTGCTGCGGGTGTTGGTGCTGAGCCTACTGCTCGCGGTCTTGCTGTGGGTACTACTAGAGCTGCTGGGGGTTCTGGAGTTGCTAGAGGTGCTGCTGGAGCGGGTACTCCTACTGGGGGTACTGGTGCTGTCCCTGCTGTGTCTGGCGTCGCCGCACGGCCTCGACTGTACTTCGTTCCACTCCTGCAGCAGGTTCTTGGTCTTCCACATTCTACAGGTCCTCCTCCTTCGTTAGAGTGTCCGCAGCCTGTCCCGTCATAGCTACAGTTACAACCTGCCTCCCCTCTCCCTGCTCCCTCTCCCTACACTGGTCCTACGGGAGGTGTTGCTGAGCACCGTGAGCCTGCGTCTCGTCCTGCGTCGCCTGTTCGTGCTACTCGCACTAGTGGTCGCGGCTCGCGTCAGCGTCCTCCTCCTGTCCCTGGCACACACCGGATGTCTCTGCGTCCGTCCACTGCTCCTCTGCGTGCCCCTTTGCCTTCTCCTCCTGCTTACTCTCCTCCTACTCTTGCCGACCCGGAGTCGGACTCTCTTCGTGCTGCCAGTCCTACTGTCACGCGTCTTCTTGCTACTGTCGTCACTGACCCTTCTTTCGAGTCCACTGCTGCGTCTGCCCTAGTTACTGAGCTCGTCGACTTTGCTGCTCGCTGTCGCCTAGACTACGCTGCTAGTCTTGTCGCTGAGTCTGAGTCTGTCTATCCTCCGTCCGTCGGGGGTTAGTGTGACCTTGGCACGGACGTCCTTGAGGATAGGCAGGAGGAGTTCCAGTGCTTGGCCGCTGCTTCACCTCACCTCGTGTCCGTACTGCTTGCCCCTGAGGGAGACCCAGATGCACTTGACATCCCGACTCCGCGCTCTTACGCGGAGGCGATAGAGGGTCCCTACTCTTCCCAATGGCAGGCAGCTATGGATGCAGAGATGGCTTCCTGGAAGTCCACAGGCACCTACGTTGACGCTGTTCCCCCTACTGGTGCGAACATCGTCAGTGGCATGTGGATTTTCAGGGTGAAGCGGCCGCCGGTTTCTCCGCCTGTCTTCAAGGCACGGTACGTGGCTCGTGGCTTCAGTCAGCGGCAGGGAGTTGACTACTTTCAGACCTTCTCTCCCACCCCGAAGATGACCACTCTTCGAGTACTACTGCACGTTGCTGCTCATCGTGACTACGAGCTGCACTCTCTCGACTTCAGCACAGCTTTCTTGCAGGGCAGCCTGCACGAGGAGATCTGGCTGCCCCACCCACTTGGCTTCACTGGGTCGTTCCCTCCTGGTACCCAGTGGAGTCTCCGGCGTCCAGTCTATGGTCTCCGCCAGGCGCCCCGTGAGTGGCACGACACACTGAGGACTACACTTGCAGCTCTTGGGTTTGCTCCTTCTACTGCCGACTCGTCACTGTTTCTGCGCACCGACACCTCTTTGCCGCCGTTCTACATCCTCGTGTACGTCGACGACTTGGTCTTTGCCACAGCTGACACTGCTGGACTCGCCCACGTGAAGTCCGAGCTGCAGAAGAGACACACGTGCACAGACCTGGGTGAAATGCGCAGCTACCTTGGCTAACTGCGCAGCTACCTTGGCTTGCAGATCACCCGGGACAGAGCACGCCGCACTATTACCTTGACTCAGTCACACATGGTGCAGCAGGTCCT